CTGAAACGTGGACACTTTCAGCGCTGGCTGCGAAACCGCCTTTGAATGCGGCGAGGGCGTCGCCAAGGCTTAGCCAAGGAAATAGCTGCAGAGCGCAAACAGATCCAACGAATCGTCTGTCGCACAGGATAAAAATACTAGTTTTCTGATGATTTGTTTTCGTACGAGTGTGCTTTAAATAGTGGCGGCTTCATGTAGCTCTTAATGATTCATAATATCTCTGAAAATATCTTTCAAATAATACTTTTATTAAAAGTGAGAGGTGCGGGCTCTGTCCCGAAGGGGGCGAAGATTTTGTTCACAACCCAGCTTCTTGTAACTGTACTTTTATTATTATATATTAATATGTATTGACACAAGAAGAACGCGACCCACCCCTCATATCTACCGTAAAGTGTTGCCGTTTACGTTGCGCTGTCTCACTAGACCCTAACTTTTGGGGGGGGGGGCACGGGACCAGTGAAAAAAAGGTTTCATGAACTTAAAAGTCCCATCTTCATTTCCTTTAGAATCTTTTTTTGGTTTTGTAGTTTCTTTCTCTGTTTTTTTTTTGTTTTATTTTTCACCTGTTTCTTGTGCACACAATTCCCATTTCATCTGACCGCATGTTTTTTTTTGCTTAATAAAGAAATAGATATAATACAATCAGCCAAAGGCTGCCTAATCAGTACCTCTGTTTTTCAATGTTTTCTTATTATTTTTGCAATAAAATTCGAGTTTATCTAACCCAGAAATCACTTGAGGACGTAGGAAAACTTGAAAAATTGAAATGTGTCATCATAAAAATTTGTAGAGAACGATTTTGGAGCATCTGGTAATCATATGATTGATTGATTTCTTTATACCTGAAGAGAATCCCTCTTTATTATCAGTTATTCCGTCACATACCTCAGGATAGGAAGCTGTATCCTCAATTGGCTTTAGAGCGCTCACTCAGAGCAATAAGGTCGTATTGTATTTGTAGTATTAAACTTATTACACTCTTGGGATGGAACGCCATCTATGCTGATAATGTTTACTTGGTAAATATTTTGTATATAGTTACCTATTACAACACCTACTATTGCACTGTTCGAAAATGGTGAGAAAATGTTTGCTGTTTATTTTATAACAATTTCGATGTGGTTGGTTACTCATTCCAATTAGTCATCTGGTCGCATCACAGTAAATAAATCTAATATAATATATTAATATAATACTCATATTCATTCAGAATTTTTAGTTGCCTATGATATATGGCGTTCAACTTCTTCCTCAAACCCAGGTCGCCCTTATCTTTCAGGGCACAGACATGGACAAGTGCGCAGGGCTGCTGCATATATAGATCAGCACCGCGATTTCTCCCTCGCAACGGCGGTGTGGTATGGCGACTTTACTGCCGGTCATTTCGCACAGTACTTTTATAAGCATGCTGCAACGCCCACCGGGTTCCTCCTGGGGCATGCCTATCCACGCTCTTTGTATCGATGTATTCGTCCATTGAGCTGTGTAAAATCAAGCAATCACAGTTTTCACAGGAAGGATTCTTGGAGTATGAAATACTCAACATCAATATTTTTTCTATTATTATTCGCCTCAATTGAGGCGGATAGCGTATAGTGGCAAGGGTGGCCATTACGCGCGCGCCGGTACGGGGAGTAAATCTGGGGTCCGTGACTTGTCCCGCGCCAGCCAAGCCCTGCATCCTTCCAAGCGTCAGTTAATTGTGGTTACAGCAGACTTGCTTAGAGGAGCGGATCTTAAAATACACTAAACTGTACATCAGGGCCCCCGCAAGTCTTCTATAGGTCGCATGGCATTCAGAACACCATGACGGAGATGTGAATGCGTGCAAGCATCCAAAAAGGGATTGGTCAAAGGCCAATACTCCACTGCTTTTTTTTGTATCGCCTCAATAATATCACGAGGCTCTTTGTTGCAGAATCTCCAACGAAATCATCTAATCTATTTTAATCAAGGATGAGGAAGTGCTCCGAAACCCGAGGAGGGGATGTTAGCTGTGGTAATCCACTTCTTAAAGAGATGTGAAAATCCCTATTTTGCAAGACAAATGTGTGCGTCCTCCCGGAGGGCTTTTCTACTACCTTCGCCGTAAATGCTTTTAGAATTCTCAACTGTTCGAGCGAATTGTTCCTCTCGCGCAATTGTTCTTTCGTAATATCCACAGCTGAAGTCGTACAACATTTAGCCAATTCGTAGAAGGGACGCAGAAACGAAGCTCGTGGCATTTCTTAACTTCAAGGAACTCTTTGGGAAAATTGTGATTATGTATTCCGCCCAAACTATTGCACAAAATGCCCCGCATTTCACTACATAGCTCATACCCTTTGCTTCTTCTAATGTAAGCCAAAATATTTCCATGGAGTTTGCTGGCATCCTTCTCTTCAGTACTTCTTAACACTAGGTCGATCTACCTAATCTGGCCGATTGTGAAACCCAGCGCTCCCAAAACGATGCCCAATGTCAGACTGAACCGGTTGCAGCTTGTTGCAAGCCCATTTCTTCAACAGAAGTATCCATCTGTGGGTTTTAGGTCATAAACCTTCTTCATAAGCATAGGCAATTCCACTAGAGCCGTTTCATTTACGCGATGGTCTTTTTCTTCTTCCATACGAAGCCTTTCAGACTTAAAGGAGGAATTCACGATTAGAATGAAGGTCGAAGAAGGAGTAATTCACCTAGTTGAGGGACCCGCGGACCTCCTGAGGGTGCGGACTGACGCGCAATTGGCACCGAAAGATTTGACCTCGGCGACCTAGCATGGCTCAATCTTGGCGCGGTTGGCGGTGTACGCCCACCGATCATCTGATCACTCGCCGCAGGTCTATACGTGGCGAGTGATTAGATAGGTGAGAGAGCGTAGTGTTGAAGAGGGCACAGCGATGAGAGTCGCATCAATGCTCAAATCAACGGGCAAGGAAGGGGTCCCATTTCTCGGGTTCTGGGCCGTTTCTCATGGTTCTTCCTTCTTTCGTGTACCACTCACCATCCCTAGGTTAATTTGAAATGGGTTGCCTTTCCAGCGTGAATTCGTCCTTTAATGAACATATTCAAGCGCTCTTTCTAAAAGAAATGAGGCGAGGATTCCCCTTTGAAGTACTGCGGAAGTCCTGCAGCATATCCCTTCCTGAATGACATTCACTATTGGAAATCTTCGGCTATTGCAACTTGTTATGGTATTTTATGATCAAATCAACTGCAGGCACACAAAAGCAGTGACCAGAGCATGAACCTGGTCAGAGATACTGTAGCATCTCTCTCCTGTGGTGCTTGATTCGAGTTCTCCTATAAGCAACTAGGATTCCTTCATTGTCCAGAATTTGCTACCCAGCATCAAGCTTTTCCGCTAACATGTACCCTCTGACCTGAAAGCAGGTGCCCATCCCATATGGCGGGTAAACAAAATAATCAAACCTTTTTAAGAAATTCGCCGAGTATCTTGCAGTGGCAAGTGGTGGAGGCATACAAGCGCTCGTAAAACTACAATAGTACGCCATATTAGAAAGAAAACTATAGGCAACCTTTTTCCTCCTCAAAAACGGCACTTGGGGTGGGACTCCATCCTCGATCTAGTACTTTTTGGAAAGAGTTTTTTTGAGGTTCACTAACCACTGTACGATAAAGTTCGCATACTATTACCTATCCTCAGCTATTAATTAGCAGCTTCACCTAGGCATAGGGGTTCCGGAAAATATATTATAATACCATAGTAGTTAATTAGCATTTTTAAACCAAAGTATAGCTTATTAACCGAACCAAAAATAACTGAAAATCTCGAGTCCTCTTTTTACGTTCATCAATTGAATGCCCCTCATTGTTCCTCCTGTTATTCATACGATCCTGTATGCAACTTCTGTATATTTATTTGTTCACCACCTAGTTTTACTATTGTTTATTTTTGTATTTGACTCGGTGCTGTAATTCAACATGTAGCTAAATAAAATAAAAAAAATAAAAATTGCTCAATCATATCATGAATGCATTGTACATTTCCATGGGTAACTTGTGTACGCTTCTATAAGTGAGCCGTTTAAACGCAGCAATCAGCAGCTGCAGCATTCCTTAAGAAAGTTGCGCGAATAGTATGCTTGTTGTCTCGCATTCGATATTTTTCCATGGCAGATGACCGCCGCCAAGCCGACGCGACCTGACAAGAGAAAATTAATGGACAACCAATGAAATCAATAGTGTAGAGACGTTTCTGGACGGCAGAAGGCTTCATTATAAAGTTTTTTTTTTTTTTTCGAAAAAGCATGTTCAGCAGGAACTGAGAGAATGAGGGGGAAAAGGTTACAGGTGCCACACTGTGGTAATGTAGGACTAACCCTCCTACGCCTCTTGCCAATTTCTGTCACAAATCGGAGCTTGATTCTCTCCACCCAGTAACACTCCTCATCCGCTAACACGGTCACCCATTTGCTACTGTGCTCATTTTCCAAGAATTTAAGTTAAACTTGGTGGGTCGAGCCTTCGAGTCTTTGAATTCCATAGCGGCGCCTGTGGCGATAAGCTCCTGGGAAAGTAGAAAGAAACTTGTTCATTAATACTTTCTAATCGTGACATATTTTCCCAAAATTTCTACTTACCTTTGATTTTGAAAAATTTAGTCGCATGTACGTTTTTTTAAAAAGCTTCGTATGTACACAATAATTGTTCCTAGTTAGAGCCGGATCCGTAATAACACACCTTCTCCGCTTCAGATATTGTTTTCAAATAGTTTTTGTTCATTTGCTACTTAACAATCACCTTGGACAAAAAAATTTTTTTAAAGTAATTTGCCAGCAGTTTGAAGGCGGTGTGTGCTTGTAAAATACTGTTGGTTGGTTGGATTTAGAAACAATTAATTTTCATTAATTACATTTTAATTCAGTTTTTTTAAGTAATTTTCAAGGTCTATCTTATATTTATGAATATTTCCTATCTGAAAATTGTTTCGGTTATATCTTCGTTATTTTCAGTCAAATTCACCAGTAACTGAAGATTCGTTGGTAACGATTCGGATGCGACCCGACGGTATGGGACGGTTTGGCTTCAATGTTAAGGTAGGCTAAATAATTGTGTTTGTACCCACAGTTCTGATTTCAGGCGCTCAGAAATTTCGTTTTTATCTCCCTCGAGGCACATAGGTTTTTGTCTCGGGCGCAGTAATCCATACCTTGGCAACTATGAAATGTGCCTTTATGTTTCAGTGTGGACTAAAACTCAATTTTCAGGGTGGTGCGGATCAGAACTACCCCGTTATCGTATCACGAGTCGCTCCAGGAAGTTCTGCAGACAAAGCACATCCACGATTGAACGAAGGCGATCAGGTACTGCTTAAGACAATTTGATAACTATTTTCCCTGAACTACCAAAAACAATACATGAGTGAACAGGAGATCCGTCGTAGAAGGCTGAGATTTGGCTGAAATTTGTTGATTCCCTCTTTTGAACTTCTACACTATTTTTGAAATTGGAACTCATACCATGCTAAGAAAGCATGCAGAACTCCCCCATCTAACCGCGTCTGCAGTAATGATGAAAAAATAGCGGCATGGGCATATCAGAATGCAGGAAAATGACGATTCCTCCTTTTTTCAACGCTTGATTATAGGTTCTGTTCATCAATGGCCGTGACGTGACACCCATGTCCCATGATACTGTGGTCGATTTCATCAGAAGCGCCCGAACTTCGCCAAATGGAGGGGAGCTCGTGCTCACGATCAAGCCCAATGGTTTGTTAAACTGTCATATTTTTTCTTGTTACTGTGGCCCTTTCCTATTTCCGCTCACATTATGCTGATTGGAGTTTTAGAGAACATGGATTTCTCTTGTTGCACTTGTCACTGGGAGAAGCGAAAGAGAAGTGCCCAAACCTGAGAAGAGCCCATTTTCCCAATATTTTGGGTTGTGATCTAGTCTACACAACAGTAGCGCTGAGAAAGTTAGTGGGCGCTAAGGCGCGAAAGAACAAACTCGGAAACGAGAGAGAATGAGGGATAAACGAGACGCAGACACGAAAGCAATCATCGGTGGACGATTGCTAAGGATCATGGTGCCTGTGTCAGTCCTAGCGCACTTGCCAGGCGTTTGAAGTCACAAAAGTGACCCCACCTCTGCGACTGCGAACCCACAGTTACCTCTTATTCAACGGATAGACTGTATGCTCTATGTACTGATTCGCGAAATGTGCCTTTAGGGTCCAGAACTTAGCACTTACGCAGTATCGCCTAAAATTATACGGGTCTCGCAACAAATGCCTCAGCTTCACTTGCGGCAATTGTATGGTAGTTATCCAAATGGATAGCGTAGATTGACTTGTCGTCAGTGCCTATAATATCGGAGCCGTGTTCTTTCTTCATTTTATTGTTACCAACAAATTTATGGGTTTACGATTCCAAAGAGTGACCGCGGCCCTCTCTTTCTAACGAACATTACTGCTAGAAACAGAATTTATCTGCCGTTTGTGAACGCGATCGTCGCCACTATTCTTTTTTCATTGGAGGGTTCCATCATTCATTTTCACACAAATTCAATTATCATATCAATAATAGAAGATTTCAATTCTTTGCGAAAATGTTTCGTGTCTAGTTCTTGTTTTTGAAAAAAAATATAGGTTAATTGCTGTTGAAGGATGAAGGGTAAAGCATTCCGCGTCAATCAATTTCTTTGTGAGATGCGCCACGCATCCTACTCCCATTCAGAATTTTAGTGACATTGTGAATGCCATCTGGCGCATAACAATGATTTGGGGACTAGCCAACGTACGAGTCAGTATTTCTATCCTCCCAGACAAGTCTGGTGCCAACTAAGTTGACCCTGGAAGGATGGGAGGCCTGATTGGCCCGGACAACTAAGGCCGATGTCAGACTTTGCGAATCGCGCGATTCGCTAGCGTCCGCGGTCGCGTTGCGGTACCAGCCAATTGAGTGATTCACTGGCCGCGACGCGACCGCAGACGCTAGCGAATCGCGCGATTCGCAAAGTCTGACATCGGCCTAAGAATTGCTCCCGGAGCGTGCGCGTGGTAAGCAGCGCCACTTGCCGCTACACCTCTTCCGCCCATTGAAGTGCTATTTGTGAAAAGCTGTTGCTGGTTGAAAATTACGTGGTTATCCAAAAATAAAACCCTGCAACATTTTCAGTCTACCGCCTCGGTGAAGAAGTGGATGAACCGGAAGGGGCGGCACTTCCTGAGCAGATGCGGGTGGCTGAGAGTGTGCCACGGAGCGACAAACTATCTCATTCACTACGACTACTAGCTGATGCTTTGGCCACCGGCCGAATTGTGTCTCAGTTTGAGGTAAGTGGCCATTCAGGCTTAGGCCCATACTCGTAAGCCGGTCATTCCTATAGATTATTTCAAATTCAGCAACTTTATCGAAAGAAACCGGGTATGACGATGAATGACTGCCGACTGACGTCGAATCTCAACAAAAATAGGTAACCTTTTGATCATAAATTTTTCTCAGAATTTTACTAGATTATTTCGCTGGTAAAAGAAACCTTTCAGGTACCGAGATGTCTGTCCTTACGACGCCACAAGGGTACGGTTGAACTCGTCCCCGAATGGCGACTACATAAATGCTAATTTTGTTAATGTAAGTCGAGCTATTTTAAGTCTTGCTGTGTTAAATTTGAATTAAGAGGTTAGCGCAGAGATTCCTATAGTCGCATGCCTCTTGAAGGGTTCAGTGGTTCAATCCCCACCAAGGTTGAGCTAGCCCATCCTGCGCTATACCCTTATGTAGGTGCTCGTTCATGAAAATGCTGCCATGGAAGGCCAACCAATCCTCGGGGCAAGATTGTTGCTAGAAACAGATGTTGAATGTTGAAAGAAGACGCAAGCAGAAGAAACGGGCGTTAGGTCCACTTTTCGAATGAGGCAAAGGCGAGGAAAAGACCAATAATATTTCAGCCGCTTGCAGCTTAGCCTCCTTTGCCATTTCACTTCCGAAAACTTCCATGTGATTGCTCTGCCCGTGCGATTGCCTATGCTCCCAGTACCGCAGTCAAAAACTGAATGCAGTTCCACACGTCAACGTTCTGGGAGGTTGTGGTTCAGCGGCGAGAAGCGCCGCTGTTCACATGCAGGGCCGTGAAATTAAACTGTTAGGACTATTTTCAACGAACTTAGCATGCATCAACTGTTTGTCGGTCATGTCGATGATCAAAGAAGGCTGAGATCGGCTTCAGATCGGTTGAGAGATTCGCGTCGCATACGCCATACATCCTAATCCCTCCACATTATTCGTGGAATGTCTTGATTCGGG